ACTTCGGGTTTGAACGATACCAGGTACTCTCCAATCAGCGCAGACATGCCAGAAGAACGAACGAGGTTCACCTCAACGAGTGCAGGCTCCGGCCCCAAAGAAATTCCCGAGCTCCCTGCATATGTAAGGTGAAACGAGAAGGCAGGAGCGCCGTCGTGTGTAGCGTAAACGCAAGCGCCAGCTGAAAAACGCGGAGAGAGCGTGAGCTCGCCCACATCCAGGCCGTCCGGTCCAGGGTGGGGGAGGGTGGTGAACACGCGAGAGTTGAAGCGCATCCAGCTACCACGACCCAGAAGCACGGCGTGCCCCATGTCGGCGTCTGGAACAACACAGGCCCAGACCACCGATGAAGCGGTAGCTCATGGAGAAAATTAACGGTGAGACGGATTGACCGGGTGGTCACAAGGGCGGGTCCATCACCAAACCCACCCCAACGACGAGGGGGCGAAACACGAACTGCCAGCTGTCAGGGCCCCGGCAGCTATCATGGCGGTGACCGAGGAGTCGGAAAGGAAGGATGCAGGAGACCCAAAGTCCAGAAGCGCCACTCGCGCGAGTTGAGAAGTGGCTGTAGGTCCTCCATGCAGCAAGACCCGGGTGGTGTACAATTCCGAGTCCAACAGGAGCGTGCCGCCGACCACATCCGGCCCATGTTCGAGAAGAGGAGGTTGGTCTGCACAGGCGGAGGTCGATGCCACCAGATGAACGCCAGGAGCATGGTCCCCCGGAGCGTCCAAACGCAGACAAGTCGGGTCTTCGCCCGGGTCCTTCTGTAGCGAAGAACCTGTAGCAGCAGCAACCTCATAAATGCGTCGATGTCCATGGAGAGGAGGCTGGGAAATGGGGGGCGTGGGAGAATTGGAAGCGCGGAAATCTTCGCCAGACAGGGGATGATCACGCAGAAGGCGTCGAACTTCCATCAAAGCTTTTCCCAACAAGTTTTTAACGCTAGCCGCCCACTTGGATGAAACGCTAGCCTCTGGAAAGCATGCAGGCATGCCGATACCCCAACACGATCGAAGGGGCTGGCTTCTGCAAGGAGGCGGGTACCCGTCTCCAGTAGATTATGCTTCATGTCATGGTTTTGAGCAAATTTGGCGTACGACCCCGTAAGCACGATCTCTTCACGACGACGCTCCCATTCAGCATAGTCGAAAGGACGCACATATCGACCCAAAAACTTGTGTGTCTTAAGATCTGTTGCAGCCATAATTTTGTCGTACGACGTCATATCATAAATAGCTCACCGCATGAATAACATACTCCCAGTACGTCAAAAGCCGAAGGAGTCCATTGCGAGATCACAGACGGAGGTTTCCAGAAAAGAAGGACGTCATCCGAAGCGTACTCGCACTTGTCATCAAACGGCGGAGCCGGTGCAGGGCGAAGGGGCAAAGAGCGGGCACCAGGCACAGGCGGGGGTGGACCAGGCGGACGGGTCCTCTTCTCCGACGGGGAGGACCCAGAAAGCGAGGCAGGAGCGGGCGAAGGCGCAACGCGCCGTGATCCGGAGGGCAGCCTTAGGGCGGCGGCTCCAGCGGGGTCAATGTTAGCAGAAGCCATTCGGCTATTAGAGACCCGTTCGTTAGGAGAAGTCATTCCTGCAACAGACGGATGTTTGATCATTGACGCAGGGCGCTCTTGACTACTCCCCCTTGACAAAGGAGCCGATCCTTCCACAGAATGGTGGGCACTACCATCCGATCCCGATGGCAGTGGTGCAGTCAGCACGTGGTGGGCAGCAGAGGAAGACGCATTCGTATCAGGTGCTGTCACACGGGGGCAGCGGACGGTCGAAGACAACGAAAGCTGCGAAAGAGAAGGAGGATCGACGGGGTTCCCGACGAGTGTAGAAGAGGGCTCGTGTGCGATCCGAGAAGAGGCCCTGCTGAAAACACCAGNCACGTGGTGGGCAGCAGAGGAAGACGCATTCGTATCAGGTGCTGTCACACGGGGGCAGCGGACGGTCGAAGACAACAAAAGCTGCGAAAGAGAAGGAGAATCGACGGGGTTCCCGACGAGTGTAGAAGAAGGCTCGTGTGCGATCCGAGAAGAGGCCCGGCTGACAACACCAGGAGAGTCTTGACGAATAGTAGAAGACGAGGTTCTTGTTCCTTCTGTAACCCGAGACGACGAGGTGAGCATGGATGGACCGCTCGACGTCTTTCCTCCCTGTCGCCCACACCACAAAAGTACTGCCGAAATGGGTCTGTCATGTCCATTACCAGCAGGCGATGAGGCGGACGACGAGGAGGCGGGCCTAAAAACTAGATGTGATTTAGGAGCGTGGGGAGTATCCAAAGAAATAGGCTGTACACGAACATCTTGGGAGACTCCAAAAGGGTGCACGGTGGTTGCTGTTGACGGTAGTACCGGCTGAACTCCGCCATCGGCTTGTCATTTCTTACCCCTCCAGCCCCTTTTTGTCGAAGTGGAAGCGTCCGACGAGTGCTCTGTGTGTGAGGACTGTTTCGTGTCCGATGTGTCAGATGAGCGGCGGGCGCGTCCTAAGGGGTGATTTCGATGTGGGTTGCGTCCTGTAGGGCGTCTATTCGAAGTCATGCGCTTTTCCACCGACCCCAAAGGGTGGGATCTTTTTCCATACCGAACTTGATGTCATTGTAAAGCAAGCCGGTGGCGTTCACGGAACCACGATTACAGGATTTGAAGGAGTGGTCTTCTCCTAAGCAGTTGAGGCACTTGCCCTTGTACAGTCGAAGCGCGTTGCGGCGCTCTTCAGCCGAAACCAAGGGGGTAAACAATGGCGGATCATTCTTGGTTGGAGCCATATCACTAGCGACGTTGTACACCTCTTGGAAGTGTCCTTGCAACGGCCAGTCGCTGTAGTGCAACAGAAAAGGGTCCCGATCATCATTAGGTAGAGGGTCAACACTCATCACGGCGGCCGAAGAACCTTGGCTCCACGAAGGGGTCACCGTCGAACGCAACGCCGAAGAAGCTACAGCACGCGAAACAGCAGACGAACTCCTAGCATTCGTGGAAGATACCGAAAAGAAATCATCTCCATGCACCGCCGGCGTGTGCGCGAACGCACGCTTGTCCAACACATCCCACATATCATCCAGACACGAAGCATGTCGCCCAAAAGGGGCTTCCATGGAGAGCTGCTCATCCTTGTACACCTGCCCAGACACTACCAGAAACTGTTTCAACATGGAGTCTCGAACAGCTTTCTGCACTTGCGCATCCGAAGGCTTGAGCGCGTGGTGGGAAACCATGACGGTCATGGCCAGAGCCTTATAGCGACGAATGTATTCTCCGTAAGTCTCGCCGTTGGATACGCCAAAACTGCGAAGACGACCAATCCCCGAGCTCTTGTCTTGGGTGTCCCAGGCAGCCGCCAATTTCTGTATGAAGAAGGCGTACGTCGAGGGCCCTGCCGGTTCCTTGCGCAGATGGATTTCTACCTGTAGGAAGGTGGCATCAACAAATTCCATGGTGGCACGGTTGGTGGTTTGGCCTTCAACGACAGCAGCACGGACACGTTTGCGCAACAACGGAAGCCATCCGGTGACCCAGGTGGAGGAATTGAAAGTCTGCTTGCGCTTGACGTCGCTTTTGTTGAGGATCTCTGTGACCACACCCTTGCAGCTAGACGCGAAACGAGAAAATTCACCAGGATCAGGACCGAGGGGCAAGCGTGTGACACTATCAAGTTGTTCCGGCTTCAGCTTGTCCATCTTGTCTTGGATGCGGATGGTGTCGGCCTCCGTTGCAGCGGCGTCCGCAGCGTTCAGAGCCTCCTGCCTCGCTCTCGCTCCCGTGGAAGTCAAAGACAAACCAGCATCGTCCTGTGGCATCGGTGATGCCGCTTGATTCGGTGACTCGACGATGTGGCCGGTTGCAGAATTAGGATCAATCAGAACAGACGCACGCTGGAGGGGGGGGGGGATATCACCAAAGGCTGTTGCAACAGGGCTGGGGCTGTCGACGCTGAC